ATATGATGAAGCGTAACAAAGATTCAAGGTATACACATGACTATTTTACCTTTTTACTATTTTTATCAATAATAATAGACCAAGTGCTAGTGAAGTATTAGATGATCCTTATTTCAAGGAAGATGATTCACAAGATACCGTACTTTTATCACCAGATAAAGAGCCAAAGCAAAACTCATTGGATAATTTATATGGTATGTATTAACACATTTAATCTCAAGTTATTTGAAGTTATTTTTAGATAAACAGTTGTATCATGTTATGGTCAATATATCCCGTTCACTGCCTGAGTTCATAGTCGATCATTACATGAGATTGATGGCAGTCGTTGGTGTGAAGTCGGGTATAGAACCTGATTGGTCGCTATCAAGAAGGTTTTTAGAGTTATACTCCACCCACGCATCAAAGAAGTCTCCACAAGTTGCTGCAAGTTATGTGTACAAGATACTGACTGGCCTGGGGTATGAAGAAATGGGTGAATTCAGTGCATACCGGTACCTGCATACTGAAGTGGACATTGACTCAAAAGTAAATGAGAAATTGGAAAAGATAATGAAATTCAGGCCAGCTGTGATTCAAGTTGTACGTGAACTGGGTCTTTGGTTACATGACTATCAAGTGGAGCGTTACCGTATGGTTGTTACTCTACTACGTAGAACTGCTTTGGATTCTAACAAGTCCTTTCTTGAGCTTTTCATGGATTTGACTCAAGAACTCGGGAAATACCCTCTCGCTGTTGCAATCACTGTTGGAGTCCTGGAAAGATCTGATTGGGGAGATACAGGGAAATTGAAGCCGTTTTCATTACCAAACTTTGATCTTAACACGTCTTATCCTGAAGTTGATCTCTGCCTAACAGTTGCTGGTTACTATGGTTACATGAGAGATATAGACTTCAGCAATGCTAAGATCTACACCTCTGTGGTTCATCTCAAGAGCCAAAATGTATCCGATATGAGTAGAGTCCAGTTTACACGGTTACTGATGGAGCGTGGTGTTGTTGAAGCTGGTAATGTCTCTAAAATTGAAGATAAAGATCGATATCCTCTCTTCTTTAAGAAATACAAACAGAGATGCAAAGGTAAGGAAATCAATCCTTTTCCACTGAAAGTCATTACTACTTATGATAGGACCAACCAAGGTGACTGCTCCAGCAACTGATGAGACAGTGCCAGTCCAAGAGAGGAAAGCTCAAGCCACTTCAGATCAAAGTCGATCAACTTCAACTGGTAAATAAACTTATTAATCCAATATCAGCTATAGATTCATAAACTTATTTAAGTGTAATTGTTAGTTAATTATGCTGTTTTCTTTCCATTATAGATCAGCCAAGCTTCTTGACTGGAAGCAGGAAGTACAAGGTATATATTGGTGATTATTTATTTGCTATTTCATGTACATGTGTGTGTATGTATTTTAAAATATTTGTCTCCTTTCAGAAGTACCTGGTACTACCACACAAACCAATAGAGGACCAACACTACGTTCACGTTTAGAAAGACTCTTTACTTTAGGGAACTTGATAATTTAACATACCAATGGCCTTATAAGGCAGCAGTAATACTGGAATATGATTATTGCAGTGAAAAATTTTTATGTAAATTTAATAATTTTTAATAAGTTTAATTTTAATCAGCCACTCCCTAAAATGAATGTATTTCAAGCCTTCATAAGCAGTGTCCATCTTGATGGGCACAACTATGGATTAGTGACCATACCTCAGTTTATTAAAGTGATGTTGGATTGACTATATGGACCATAGCTTTATAGTAAGTTGAGTAAAGCAATAAATTGATTATAAGTGGAGGGCTGTGTAGCATTTTTGTGATACTATCAGTACATGTAATATATTCTAAAGTAAACATGTACTATAATAGTAAAGGGTATTTTGACAAAAATGAAAAGTAGAGAATTCTCCATTTTTATTACATTTCCTGATACATATACATGTACTTATGTTGCGTAGAAAGTTTGAGCTGATTCCAATTAAATTTGGATTTTTTACAATTTTTTAAGGTTGCTCCAAAATTGGACAAAAGTCCCTGTACTATAGTACAGTTTAGAAGGGAACTGAGCCCTTAAATAAACAATTTTTTTATAAAATAGATATAACACAGGGATAAATAGCAGGTTAATAAATGAGATAATAATAACGGAAATAAGTGATAGAAAAATAATAAGATAAAATGAATAGGTTAGGTTAGGGTAAGATGAGCTTCTGAGATAGCTCTGTAGAATAGTACATGGTCTCGGGCCAAATTTTGCCAAAAATGAAAAGAAGAGAATTCTCCATTTTTATTACATTTCCTGATACATATACATGTACTTATGTTGCGTAGAAAGTTTGAGCTGATTCCAATTAAATTTGGTTTTTTTACAATTTTTTAAAGTTGCTCCAAAATTGGACAAAAGTCCCTGTACTATAGTACATGGTCTCGGGCCAAATTTTGCCAAAAATGAAAAGAAGAGAATTCTCCATTTTTGTTACATTTCCTGATACATATACATGTACTTATGTTGCGTAGAAGTTTTGAGCTGGTTCCGATCAAATTTGGATTTTTTATGAATTTTATGAAGTTTTAAAGTTGCTTAAGATTAATGTTATTACTTAATTCTAGTTAATTAACTTAATGTTAATAATATAACTAGTAATGAATGTATGTAATTGACTCATTATGTTATTAATATAAAGTAACTGGTAGTATATTGTGACTAATGATCACCTAATGATCAGTGAGTAACTGAAGTATTGAATTATAATCCCCAGGAGGTCTAATTCAGTAATTAGTACCAGACCCCTTGTTCCTAAATTTCAATTATTCATACCCATTATCAATGATACAGTATTGGACCTCATTCATTGTATGTTAGTCCTCACTAAATCAATTAATGTTTAACATAATGTCACCTCCTCCACATTATAATGAGACACACATTAACTGATCAATCATTAGCTGATACTAATGGACTAATGTTCATATACTGTATATTACATACAGTCACTAGTCAGTAAAGAAAATGGCGTATTTTTGGCCTAAGTATAACCAGATTCCTCGAATTTAAGGAGGCCTCCATATAAAGGACAGTAGGGCTGTCCATAGGTATCCCTTTTAGAGAGAGGTTTGACTCAGGTACTGTCACTTATCATTATATATAGTTCATCAACAGCAGCTGCTATTAAAGATTAATACACAAAAGCATTGAGCAAGCATAGGTGGTAATGGGGAGGTATATAGATATTATTATAATAATTGTTATTGTTCAGTAATAGTTGTCAACAGCAGCTGCTACTAAAAATTAATACACAAAAGCAATGAGAACCATCTATCACTGGACTAATGGGGAGGTACATAGATTATGTTATAATAATTATTATTTTTACAGTTTCTCTTCCCACGACAGCACCTGCTACTAGTCCAGAAGCCACTCAACCATCAGGTAATACATATTAATAAATGATTCAATCACTGGTGTACATTATATACTTGATGTTATCATCCTATGCTACAAAGAAAATTTGAGCTAATTCCCATCAAATTTTGATTTTTTACGAATTTTTAAAGTTTCTCCAAAATTGGACAAAAGTCCCTGTACTATAGTACATGATCTCAGGCCAAATTTTGCCAAAAATGAAAAGAAGAGAATTCTCCATTTTTATTACATTTCCTGATACATATACATGTACTTATGTTGCGTAGAAAGTTTGAGCTGATTCCAATTAAATTTGGTTTTTTTACAATTTTTTAAAGTTGCTCCAAAATTGGACAAAAGTCCCTGTACTATAGTACATGGTCTCGGGCCAAATTTTGCCAAAAATGAAAAGAAGAGAATTCTCCATTTTTGTTACATTTCCTGATACATATACATGTACTTATGTTGCGTAGAAGTTTTGAGCTGGTTCCGATCAAATTTGGATTTTTTATGAATTTTATGAAGTTTTAAAGTTGCTTAAGATTAATGTTATTACTTAATTCTAGTTAATTAACTTAATGTTAATAATATAACTAGTAATGAATGTATGTTGTATTATTATGTAATTGACTCATTATGTTATTAATATAAAGTAACTGTTAGTATATTGTGACTAATGATCACCTAATGATCAGTGAGTAACTGAAGTATTGAATTATAATCCCCAGGGGGTCTACTTCAGTAATTAGTACCAGACCCCTTGTTCCTAAATTTCAATTATTTGTACACATTATCAATGATACAGTATTGGACCTCATTCATTGTATGTTAGTCCTCACTAAATCAATTAATGTTTAACATAATGTCACCTCCTCCACATTATAATGAGACACACATTAACTGATCAATCATTAGCTGATACTAATGGACTAATGTTCATATACTGTATATTACTTACAGTCACTAGTCAATAAAGAAAATGGCATATTTTTGGCCTGAGTATAACCAGATTCCTCCAATTTAAGGAGGCCTCCATATAAAGGACAGTAGGGGTGCCCATAGGTATCCCTTTTAGAGAGAGGTTTGACTCAGGTACTGTTACTTATCATTATAATAGTTCATCAACAGCAGCTGCTACGAAAAATTAATACACAAAAGCAATGAGCAGCCATCTATCACTGGACTAATGGGGAAGTACATAGATTATGTTATAATAATAATTA